CACCGTGGCTCTCCCCAGAGGTCTGGAACCCCCTCCTGGGAGCGACTTCTCGTCCCGAACCCTGTTGTTCACGGTCCCTGGGCCCGGTGGGGGCCCCAGGAGCCGGAAACTGACACAACCTTCCGTCGCGATTTGCTGTTCGCGACACGAGGACTCCAGGGGTAAAGGCGGGTCAGCGAATCAGCTCACCACGCAGCTGGCTCGCCCGGCGGCGGGGCCGAGCAGCTGCATGCAGCAGATGCCGTACCCCCCCCTCCCCCGTCCCTGTCCCCTCCCTATGTACGCGATCGACACGTCCTGCCCTGCATGCCCCTGCGCACGCCCCGACCCCACCAGGGGCCAGAGCGGCGGCATGGATAAGATTCGGCTCACTGGAGCCACGTAGTGAATCCGTGCCCTGCTCCCCCTGGCGCCCAGAGAGGGCAGCAGCAGGGGTACGGATCAAGCGTCAATCGTCGACCATGCGTCCAACCCGCGAGGGGAGGCCTGCCACAGGGCCGCGCCGCCTCGTCGACGCACCGCCGCTGCGTCGGCGACGCACCAGCGACGTCGGCGGTGCATCGGCGACGTCGGCGTGGAGAGGATCGGGATCCACATCGAGCCGCATCGCCGATGCCTCGGCGATGCGCGGCGATCCCCCGACCCCGCCCCCTCGGACCCCACCTGGGAGGCCCGGAGAGAGTCGAGAGCGGCCTTGGGCCAAGAGGGGGGTGTCCAAGAGGGGGGGGGGTGCAAATCATGACCGGCGGCATGTGCGCGGCCCAGCGGGGGGGCCAGGGACGTAATGAAATACGAAGAGGAGCAACGAAATCTGGGGAAATATCATGGCCCCCGCCATGATATCCACCCCCCCCCTAGTCATCACCCTCTTGCCGCCCCCGAGAGAAGGAGGAGGCCCGTGCCTCCGGGCGCCGGGGAGCAGCCACGGCAGGCGTGCTCGCCCGGCCTGGCCCTCCGGGAGCGGGGGGGGGCGCCCGTCCAGGCGGGGCCACCGGGAGGCGAGGCGCAGCGATCGGCTGGCCCAAGGGGGCGGGTCGACGGCCCCTGGAGATCCGAATGCGTCGTGGAGGTCGTGGCAGAAACCAGCTCACCCAAAGCCGGAGGCCGGGGGTCGAGCAGGAGATCGGCTATAGAGTTGGTTCATACCCCAAGATGGAGGATGTTCGTCGGGCCTGGGAAATCACACACGCTACATGTTTGTAGACCTACGGACGTCCGACGTTTTCTTCGCAGATTCGGCAAGGCGAATCAGTTTGGGGCCATCGATTCTGGAACCCATCTCCTACTCTCGGCGGTGGGCAAACCTCCCTTTTAGTAAACCTCCCCTTATTAGTGAAAACGGCCTGGGACCGAAACCGACGGACCTGGACCCGCAAAAATGACGGCCGCGACGCCCTCTCGCGAACCGAAAACGGCCAATTCCTTAATCGACGTGTCAGGGTAGGAGGTCTGTCCACCCCCGATACTCGAACCAAAAAACCCAAACTCGGAGGTCACGGGGGGGCCGGCTAAGAGGGGAGGGCACACCCAGAACGCGCCAGGCCCACGAGAGGCACCGGCAGGACGCCAGCCGCGGATATGCCCGACGGCCGCAGGTCGGAGAGCAGGCGAGAACCAGTCTGCCCGGGCACCCGTTGGGGGCTGGGCGGACTCAGGCTGCTTGGCGGGAGGGCTCCTGCGTGAGAGAGAGAAGAGAGAGCACGTGGCCGACCGAAGGCGACGCGAACAGCAAATCGAGTTGCGGACAGGTGCAGATAGAAGGATGCAAAGAGAAGCTGGAAAGAAAAAAAGGAGCCCAGCGGGTCATAGAGTAACATCTACCGCGGCTGCCCGAGCACCTCCTCCTCCTCCTCCTCCTCCTCCTCCTCCTCCTCCTCCTCCTGCTCCGCCTCCCACTTGACCCAGACCTCCAGCGCCATGAGAAAGCATGACCGCTGATCGCTTCGAGTTTGGACCCATGGGAGATCCTGTCAGGACCCTGATGCCTACCAAAGACACCAACGGCGCGACGCCAGTACGAAAGGGTGGCTCGAGACCCGGAGATCTGACTTCGTTTTTTGCACGTGGGTCCACCCCGAGGCCCCCGGGCCCCTGGAGGTCAGAGACTCCGGAAAACGACCTCGCATCTTATTTACGTCGCGTGGGGACATGGAAAAAATCCAAGCTCCACGTGACAGCGAACCGATCAATTCAAATCGGGGATCGACGCATATGCACCCATGAACCCCATGGGGGGCCCAGAGGGGGGGGGGAGGGCCCCGATGGGCCCGAATATGTCCGTATCCACCGCTGACCGCAGTCCAGAAAGGTCAGGCCACCGGGTGTTGGACATGTGTAAATCCCTGCCTCGGAATCGAAACATGGGAGAACTGGGATCTCGCGAGCGCGCGAGCACGCGCGCGCGTTGGGAAGATCAATCATCACCGAATCAAGAAGCCGGCTCGAAAAGAAACGTGCGATCGAACCGAAACCCTACACATCGAGTTGCCCGAATTGATCCGCGAGGGTCGGTTTCGGATTTCACCGCCGATGGGCTCGGGCCGCATCATCAAAGAGTCGAGACCGAATCGGTTCGGCCCTCGCGCAAAGGTGAACATAAAAGCGCCCACGCACCCAGACGCCGGCCCGCACCAAGTCGCCAAAACATTGGAACATCGGATCGGATCAGGCACGCCGAAACCGACATCGGCATCGGACCGGGCCGAAAATAGAAAAAAGAAGATCCTGCATGAACCTAAAATTTCGAAGGTCCGCGCGAGTTTCCTTCCTGGTGCGCGAAGCGCGCCAGGAACGGCGCCAGAGGCGCCGCCAGGGAGGCCTGGCGCTGATCCAACAGACCCGATCGGGACTCCGAAAGTTTATACTTACGCTCTTTCCTTATTCGAAACATCGGATCGGATCGAAGACACGATTTCCTCAATCTGCGGTACCAGAGCTCCCAGCCCCTTCCTCGGAGGGCACTTGTTCGTCCCAACTCCATTTCTGAAAGGTCCTGAGGCCCGACGGCGCCCCAGGGAGGTCACAATTACAAATTACCCCAGTGATGCACGAACCCTTTTCCCAACAGCTTGCAAATGTGTGTGGGGCCGCTCAATGCTATCAAACATGTTGAAGGACCTGAAGTGCGCGGGAGCTCTCCGAAGTACATCGAGAAACATACAGGAATGGCAAGACAAGGACGGAGACAGAGGCATACGAAGGAGGGTGAAAGGGGACATACATGTTATGTGAAAGCAATAGCGCCGAGCGCTACATACGCGGGACAGAACTGCGCCATGCGCTCCATAGCAGCACGTCGCGCTGGGCGAGGCAAGCGCACGGGGTTGCATGGCGGGCCAGAGGCAGCCGAAGATGGAAGGCCACGCGGACAAACAACAACGCCACGCACTGCGTGGCGCAGCGGTTCCCTGCGAGCTGCGATGCGACAGCGCCGAGCGCTGCGTGACCCGACAGCGCCGAGCGCTATGAGAACTCCTGCCCTTTGAGATGCGAATAGTTGCAGCCAATTGCATCTCTCGTCGGCGCCCGCGCCAGTGAGGCGCCAGCGACAACTACCGCGAACTCGCCTGAAACCACATGCAGCCCACGAACGTGACGACAGTTACGCACTTCGCAGCCCCCCCCCCCGACCCCAAGGAGCTGCGAGGTCTCGACGGGATCTGCGTGACTACTGACTCCGCCGGGCCCACACTGAAAGTGGCGACAATTGCGCACTTGGCAGCCCCCCAGGGAGCCACGAGGTCTCGACGGGTCAGGGAGCCGCGAGGTCTCGATGGGATCCCCATGCCACTCTACTCCGCTGGACCTCCCACGAGCCCACGAACGTGGCGACAATTTCACACTTCGCAGCCCCCCAGGGAACCGCGGGGTCCTAATTGGATCCCCGTGTAACCCCACTCCGCACGACCTCCCATGAGCCAACGACAATGGCGACAATTTCACACTTCGCAGCCCCCAAGGGAGCCGCGAGGTCTCAACCAGATCCCCGTACAACTCCACTCCGCGCGACCTCCGAGGAGCCAACGAAAGTGGCGACAACTTTACACTTCGCAGCCCCCCGGGGAACCGCGAGGTCTCAACTGGATCCCCGTGCAACTCCACTCCGCGCGACCCCCCAGGAGCCAACGACAGTGGCGACAATTGCGCATCTCGCAGCCCCCCAAGGAGCCGCGAGGTCCCAACTGGATCCCCGTACAACTCCACTCCGCTGGGCCCCCCAGGAGCCCACGAAAGTAGGCGATCGCGATAAGAAGAAAAAAATATATAAAAAAAAAAAGGAAAAGTGAATAAATAGAAAAAAAAAAAAAAAAAAAAAAAAAAAAAAAAAAAAAAAAAAATAAACAAAAAAAAACAAAAAAATAAAACATAAATTAAAAAAAAAAAATAAAAAAAAAAAAAAAAAAATAAGCAGAAAAAAAAAAAAATAAAAATAAAAAAAAAAAAGCAAAGAAAAATAGAACAAACAAAATAAAAAAAAAAATAAAAAATAAAAAAAAAAAAAACACATTAAAAAAAAAACAAAAATAGAAATAAATAAATAAAAAAAATAAAAGACAAATGTAAAAAAAAAGAAAAAACAAAAAAAAAATCATAAAATAAAAAAAAAAAAGATACTAAAGAAAAAAAAACAAAAACAAAAAAAAAGAGCACACACCGAAGAGCAAGGGCACGCGAACCATGCTCGCGACAGGAGGCAGGATGTAGGATGCAGGAGGCAGGAGGGGCAGGAAGAAAGAGGGAGACTCGACCACAGTGCTCCATGCAAAAACGAGAACCCAACGCAGGAGTGCTGGGAGGGGGGGGGGAGGGGAAAAACGCCCAGATTGACAAGATCATGTCGTCGGGAAGGTCTCGGCCGACCTCGGGTCGAAGAGGGGCCCCGTGGGTGGCTGGGCTGCGCCGCGCAGCGCCGCTGCGAGGAGGCGCGCGTCCGCATTTGAAGGGGCCCCAGGACACACAAATAGATGCACACAAATAAAAAGATTCCCCATGTTTTCCTATATTTTCTGGGTTTCTGTCTTCCCCCCCACTTCCCATATTTTTCCATATTTTCTGGGGAATCGAAGATTACTTGTGTCTGTGTGTTTCTTTTCCTCCTGAGCATTGCCAAGGCCCTCCTGAGCATTGGCCAGTCGCCCGGCTACAGGTGCACCACGGCCCGCGGGGGCACGTGCTCACCTCTGGCCGTCTGCCTGGCGGGGCGGGGCGGCGCGGCGCGGCGCGGCGCGCGGAAGGGGGCGGCGCGGGGTGGGGGGCGGGAGGCGGCCTCCTCAAAACAGGGCTAGGATCGGGATAAATCGCTCCAGAGCGTTCCGGAGCGCTCTCAGAGCGTTCCGGAACGCTCTGGAGCGGCCGCGGCGCCCAATACATCCTCCAAACCCGCCGATTCTCAGAGATTTTGAGTTCTCCCGATCCGATTTTGTCCCGATCTTCGCGTCGTTTTACCCTCGGAAGGCGGGCTACGACGAGTGCGGTGTGCGAAGGGTGCGGTTTGCCTCCCGTCCGGTCGGCCCCTCCCGATACCCCGGGAAGCGGACGACGCGGTCACTCCATGCGACCGGATCACGTGGCACTGTCGCTCCTTCTGGCACAGTGGAGCACACACCGAGGATAGTGTCGCTCGAGACGACGACAGTTATGACATTGTCTCTCACCAAGGCCACCACAAAGCAACTCGCAAACCGCACCCCGGCGTAACCGCACCGATTGTAGTCGCCGATCCTAAGAAGGCGGGCCAGAGGGCTCCCCTGACGTTTTCACGACGCGAGCTTCGCGCCGCTCGACAGGCCTCCCACAGCTCGCACAGCAGCTGGCACTGCGAAAGAACACGCCTGGCCACCGCTCTCGTGATACACGGCCCGAAAGGAGTGGAAGGAGAACAAGGACGAGGAGGAGAGGACGAGGACGAGGAAGGCACGGCACGGCACGCTCATCAGGGGCACGAGTCAAGCTCCCAACATTACAGAATAAAAAGAGATTGCTCAAGCTCCTCGAGTGCGCTACAATTAGCGGTGCTACGCACTTGGGGGGGGCCCGAAACGTCCCTACGGAGCCCAGAACGGAGGGAATCCCTGGGTCCAGAGACGGTCCCACAAACAAAAACTCGATGGGCTACTATCGCATAGTAGGCGATCAGACAAAGAACGGAGAAAGAAGCCTCCAAGCCAGCATCCAAGAACGCCGAAATAAAGAGAGAGCTCGGAGCATCCAGGACCCGCACCCACGAGGTGATCTCAGCGCGCTCCCGAGCGGGGTCATCGCCCAGCCCGAAGCAGCAGCACACGCCGAGACCAGAGATTTCAAACCAGACGGAACCGCGGGAATCAAAATCTGGCGGGGCATTCCTCTACCAGTCCGCAGAGGACCCAGGCGCCAAGGCCTAACCTAGGCCGTGGGTTCGTCCCTACGGGGTCTCCTGGGTAGAGCTCCAATCAGCCTCAGGATGCTGGCATCAAGGGAGGCCGAGGGGGTGAGGCGAGAGGGGGTCCCCGCAGCAGGAGCAGCAGCAGCCCTCGGAGGAGGAAGGGGACGAGAGAGGGAACTAACTTCTGAATTCGACTGTGGCGATCCGAGCCTCACCGTACCATCCCGAGCCCGTCCTCGTACCCCCATTCCTGGGCGCCTACCCGCAGGTCCTGCTGGTGTCCCAGGGAGTCCGAGCGAATGGGTACTTCGCGCGCCGATCGGTCCACTCGTGGCAATCGATGTCCCCGTGACAATCGAGGTCGGCGTGGCAATCGAAGTAGGCGCGGCCAGCGGTCCGCTCGTGGCAATCGTTGTCCTAGTGGCAATCGATGTGGGCGTGGCACTCGGTGTAGACGCTTCCCCCGCACTGCGCTGGCCCCCAGGCACAGTGACTACCCCCGTCTCCCCAGCGGCCGGTACCACGCGCCTCCAAGCGCCCAACGGGCTGGGAGGACGCGTGATGCGTGCCGCTGGGGGCCCTCCAGCGGTCGGTACCACGCGCCTCCAAGCGCCCAACGGGCTGGGAGGACGCGTGATGCGTGCCGCTGGGGGCCCGTCAGCACCATCACCTGCGCTCAGAAGCCCTCCACGGAGTCCAGCATCATCTGCATGATCCGCTCGTGGTGACTCTTCGGGGGGACGCCTCGCTTCACTACTGCCCCGAGCTGCCGCAAGGAGTCGAGCAACTGCGTCTGAATGCCAGTCCCCTCCGCGGCCATGTGCAGCTTCGCCGTCTTGCGATCGTGGGTGTACGACACTCTGCAGTGGCGGATGTGGTCGCACAGCTTGTCGTTCGTCACCGTCGGGTCGCTCTTCACTTTGTTGAGCCACTCTGAGAGCGCCGCGTGGTTGGCCTGACCGCACCCGACGCCGCCCTGGACGATGGCCCCCACCAGCGCCAAGAAGAGGTGTGGATGTGGTACTCCTAGGTTGTCCAGCTCTGGCACCGCCTGCTTGTTCCTCAGGGCCGCCGCGCGATCCTTCCTCAAGCGCTGTGCCTCCTGTACGTAGAAGCGCCCAGTTACCTTCATGGCCTCGATCACTGCGTGCGTTGCGTCGATGTGGATACAGAAGTACATCGCCGCCTCGAGCCCTGCCACGGCCTGAGAGTTCTTCAAGACTGTCCTCACGATTATCGGGAACAGCGCCTGGATGAGGGGGATCGGCACCGCTTGGTTCTGTAGGCCCTCGATGTCGCTCCGCTGCAGGCCGTAGTTCGCGTCGGCGTCCTGGAACATCGCCGAGAGAGCGTCTGCGATGCCGTGCTGTCCCAGCTGCTCGCGGGGGCCGCGGAGTCCGCCGCCGCCCGCGATGTTCGCCGCCCCCTGCGCGGGCAGCTCGCCGCCGCTGGGGGCAGCTGCTGTCCCCGCGCCGCTGTCGCCGCGGCGCCTGCTCTCTGAGTCCCTCGGCTCTCTGCGACGCCTTCCAGCGCCGCGCCGTTCTCCGCTGCGAGACCGCATGGCCTCTGCCCGCGCGGGGCCGTCCGCTGCGAGGGCCCTCGTCGCCAGGTCCATTGCACCACCACTCAGTAGAAACTAACGCGGGTGCAGGCTGCGGCGCGTGCACGTGTCTGATGTGAAGCTGGAGTTCCGCCAACGAGCCGAGTGGCTCCGTACACCTTGAGCCTGGTGGCATACGGTCCACGAACCCTGGGACAGCCGAGTCGAGATCCACGCAGAAGGGGCACGTGAGGTCCGCGGGCTCTTGGACTGGAGGTGCATACGGGGACTGGTCACACAGGCAACGGCCTCTGCGGAGTGACTGCACGATGTGACGCTGGGCTGTAACGATGGACTTGAAGCTGCTCATGCAGTAGGGGCACTGATTCGTGATGATGAGCTGGTGTGCTGGAACTCGGTGCCGATGAGATGGGTGATGACACTGATGCGCGATGAGGGCCCCCTTGCTGTAGAACACCATCCCACACCTGCCGTTTTCCCCCTCTCCTGGAAGGTCACACACGAATTCTTCAGGGGCAGCTTGAGGATCTTGTGGGGCACCCTGGGGAAGACGTGTACTTCGGAGCTCTGGTACTTGCCTCAATTTACTCGGGTCGAAGCGGCAGAAGATGGAGCCTGCCTCTGGGTTCTGGAAGAGGTCCCGAACTGAGTAGGTCTCCAGGAAAGTGTCCCCGCCTCTAAGAAACCGAACAGCCTGGACGTCTCGTTCGAACTGCACAGCCCAAGGATTGGCCCCGTCCGCGACCGCCCCCGACCCCGTGAAGGTCTCAGGTTCTCCTAATCCCTCGAGCGTGCCGAACAGCGCAGTGATCACCTGCGCGCTGTCCTCTTGGTGTCTCACGAGCCGCTGCCACTGCCTCAGCCTGCGTACCAACAACTCTGCACGGGCATCCGTCATCCGAAGCTTTTTGAGGACCTCATCTTCCGAGAGCGATTTATACCTTGGCTTGGTGCCTTCTGGGGCTCCAGGAACGAGTTCAGGGCGCCTATCTCTAAGAACCACGCGAGCGAATCCGAGAACGACAGCGTCGAGCCGTCGAAGGTCAAGTTTACCTGGAAGATATGTCTCGAGGCCTGAAAAAGCAGCACTCACAATCGTCCCCCTGAAGGCCAGCCGTTTGATCCGAATGGAGTGCGTGTCTTCCCAAAGTCTACCGAGCTTCCTCCAGGCCGCCCTCGTCGCCTCCACCCTCCTCCTGATCTCCGCCCCACATCCTCCCGTCAGTTGCTCCATGTCTCCAAGGTAAATCCCCTCCGCCGCCACCACCCCAGGAAGAGGTACCAGTCCCGAAAGTAAGGCCCTGGACGCCGTGTGGGCCCCAGTGTCCGCCATCACGGGAAGGCAGTTTTCCTTCTCTCGATTTTGAGCAAAGCCGCCGCCTAGCTCCAACTCTTCGTCCAGCACAGCGTTCGAGGCACGGACGCGGGTCTGCGCCTCCAGCGCATTCGGCGAAAGCAACGGCAGTGTCTGATGGATGTCGTCCGCGTAGTCTCTGATCGAGACGTCCATCTTCTGCCGAGAAATTGCACAAGTCATGATGCTGGCGGCACGCACTAGCGGGACCTCCCCCCCTGTCAACTTAGAGTGGTACTGGGTGGGGTCCTCATACAGCCTATCACGCTAACGAGGACGAGGCGGAGGACGAGAAGACAGGGAGGGGGGTCTCGCGGCGAGCCTAGGGTGGAAGGCTGAGGGGCCTGGGCTTCGCAGGAGGCTCAGAGGGCCCCCAGCCCTCTGAGAGGCTGTCTGAGCCTCTCCCGAAGGCGCGAACGACTTCTCAGAAGGCGCGAAGGGCTACTGAGAAGCCCGCCGCCTTCTGAGAAGGCCTGCCCCCTCTCATTCCCTCCCTGGGCGCGACGCCGATCAGGAGGCAGGGGCCTTCTGCGGGACGGGAGTAGGCACCATGATGCGGTTGATTCGGCATACATTCTTGGGAGTCCGGAACTTCGGTCGGCCTCGGCCACGCGTGCTCAGCCACGGCGCTGGACGGCAAGAAAGCATGGGCCATGGAAATATCGGAACGCATCATACGCCGACCCTGTCGGCGTGTGGAGGACGCTCTTCCGTTCGTCGTCTTCGTCTTCGAGGGCCCCGAATCGCCGAACGATCGGTCCAACCGTCGCCGCTCCTTTCCTCTCCCTGGGCCCTCCCTGGGCTCTCCTCCTCAAGCGCGCCAGTCACAACGAAATTGAACGACGTCGTAGTTGAGTCGAAGGGAAGCCCCTTCCCTTTGATCCCCTCCCCGCCGGGAGGGGGGGGGTCCGAC